CACACACACACACACATACATACACACATACAGACCACACGCATCACACACACAGACACGCACCCCATACAGCCTGCAGGAGGGCAGGAGGCTGAAGAGTTCCAGCACTTCTGCCCGTGGCACACAAGGCCCTGCTTCCCTGGGGATTCCCTGACTGCCTCTCCCATGGGAAGCTTAACCTTCCCTGCCCACAGAGCTTGGCTCTGAACGCACCTGGAAGAACCAGCCAACCAATCAGCAGAGACTCATGACGACCCTCCAGGGGCCAGGCGCCATGCCGAAGGGCTCCCCTGCATCTAATGGAGGAGCCAGTACGCACAGGCTGATGCCTGCATCACACAGCACACGTTTAGAGAAAGCAACGTGTGCATGCTGGAGAGGTCAAACAGCAAAGAACTCCCACCTCCCCGACTCTAGAACTGGTCTCCAAGAGGCAGAAGAGAGGAGGGAAGGCCTTCCAGGAAGGAGGGACACTGTCTGTGCAAAGGCCCATAGGTGGGAGATGTGGTGCTCCACATACGAGGAACAGTAAGAAGGCACGCCTGTCTGAGACCGCAGACAGAACGATTGAGGCCGGCTGGGGCCGAGGCATCTACCACCAAGGAAGGATGCGGTCAGTCCACCTCATAGGGGTGACGAGGACATGGAGACTGAGGCGTCCCAGATGACCCTCAAGGACAGAACCTGAGGGATCAGAGCAGGAGCTCCCGAGGGCAGGCGCCCCATGGGCAGCTGGGAGGAGCACGAGCCTTCCTCAGCTCTCTTCCTGCTGAGACATGCCAGGGTTTGCCAATCACAAAACTCCATCCTCAGAGCACTTCTGAAAACTAATTTTAACTTTTTAATAACCTCACGACTGCCTTTAAAATGACATTCAAAATGGATGTCACGAAGGTTATAATGCTTTATAAAAGTGGGAAGAAAATCAGATGCCAACCCTCCCACAGCTCCGCGGGGCCGGATTCCGGCCAGCGAGGGCGAGGTGCCTTGACCGAAGACCGCACGGAGCCAAAAAGCTTCCTAATGCATCTGGGATGAGGTGGCCAGCCATCGACGGGGAAAGCTCTGGACCCGAGGTCTCGGCTAAGGCAGAAACAAGAAAACAAGAAACCTCTGTCCAGCGGAGAGCTGGCACCCAACAGATGAGCGGCCTGGCACAGGAGCCTATTCTCACCCAACGGGACTGCGCGTGGACCACCTGCAGTCCATAGCTTACTGTCCAGGGAGGCCAGAGAGAATTTGGAACTCAAAACTTAAAAAAAATGTTAGAAATCACTTTCACATGAATGGGGGGGAAATGCTATTGAAAGAAAGAAAGAAAGAAAGAAAGAAAGAAAGAAAGAAGGAAGGAAGGAAGGAAGGAAGGAAGGAAGGAAGGAAGGAAGGAAGGAAGGAAGGAAGGAAGGAAGGAAGGAAGGAAGGAAGGAAGGAAGGAAGGAAGGAAAGAAAGAAAGAAAGAAAGAAAGAAAGAAAGAAAGAAAGAAAGAA